AGGCTTGCAGAATGCAAACAGAGCAGCTCCCCAGAGAGGCAAGCCCCAGAGACATCAGTGAGTTCTATATTTGTTATTTCTATATCTAGTTATCTCAAGAGGTTATCTAAAACTCTCAGTATTGTTAGAAAAAAATGTATTTCCGAGGTTATCTAAAACTCTCAGTATTGTTAGAAAAAATGTATTTCCTCTAATTAAAACACACACACACACACACACACACACACACACCATGAATGACAATACAAGCCATGAAACCTTCCAAAATAAGGCTTCCAGGCATGTCATCACTGGGGTGATCATCTTGGAAGGAAATGGTGAATTTTGCTCAGTTGCTTCTCTGGCTCTATCCTCTTCAGCACAATGCTCAGACATTTCCTCTCTTAAAGAGGAAAACTACCCATGACCTTCAGCAAAAACTTTGGCATTCAAACACTGTGTGAATGACTGAGGTTAATGGTAGGTTGGGTCTCCTTCCTCAGAGAGGGGATCTTAAGAAGGGGTAACTAAGTTTACTTCATCACTGAGGTATTAGCCTGAGGGGTATCCATCCCTATGCTACATTTCCGGGCTATTCTACTTGACTCCTTTAGTCCCACCCTTAGGTTGGTTAGTTCCTCCTTTCTGGCCTAGGAACCTACATCCACTCCTGTGTTCAGGTCAAAATATCAGCCATATACAGTCATGGTAGAGTTCAATCAATAGTATGTTCATCTGTGGAATTACTCCTCCCACCCCAGCATTTCTTAATCAAATGTCTCTTCTCCCCCACAGCCAGCCTGGGAAGGATTTTTCACCTTCCTCGCCTTGCTCATTTTTTTCTTGCCTCATCTCCAGCTACAGAGCCTTTTCTGGCAACCTTGCCTTTCCTACAGAATCTTGCTATGCTGCTTTATCTTTTTATTTCTGATCAGTTTTGAGCCTTCTATATGATAAAATGGACTCATCTTATTTAGGACAAGGAAAACTATCAAGAAGACTAAAACTCCTTAAGCTGGGTTTCCCAATTCATTGATGATGAGTATGAACTCATATGAATTGGGGAAGAAAGAGTATTTCTCCACCAAAACTCCATGCACGATGCATGCTCGCTCTCACTCTCGCTCTCGCTCTCATGCTCTCTCTCTTTCTCTCTCTCTCTCTCTTTTTCTGTCTCTCTCTTTTTTCCTAGAAGATACTTCTTTCACTGATGTAAATATTCTCTCAGTAAAGTTGAGGCTAAGTAGAAAGTTGAGAACTTTGGTTTTCTCTGTTAGCCTGGAGCTGATTTAAGGAAATTGCCCCAGACTGGTTCACTGAAATCTCAAGGTAGTTATTTCTCTAGTACCTCCCCGGAAATTTTACCTCTCAGTCCCTCTTTACCTTACTTCTCTTTTTAAGTCTCTAGTTTTTCACCAGTTCTGCCCTAAGCACTGCAGTAGGCTGAAGGTCCTTCTCCTTTACGGGCTCTATTCCAATGCCTTTACTTAGTTCTCTTTTCATAGGCTTATGATGTTTGCATCTTAAAAGTTAATGTCTGGTTTAAAAAAATTTTTTTTGATATGTCAATCATACATCAGTAAAATTGTTTTAAAAAGTCAATGGTAAGTCATACTGTCTGTCTGTCATTAAGACATTAGAAATTCTAAGACTCCCAATCTACGTTTTAACATATAACCCTTAGTCTTTCTTCAGCAGTACTCTCCCAATTCATAATCAATTTTGAAGAAAGACAGAAAAATTGCCCTAATTTCAAAGCCTTCTACCTAACTTCTTCATCAAGGGATCTGCTGTCAATGTCCAATCTTGACCATCACATAAATAATCTTCTAATAAAGTTTTCATGTAGTATTAAATATAAACCCATTTAAAACTCTATTTAATATGTTATGATAATCCATATACCAGCAATACAAGCATAATATTTAACAAAAATAGTATGGTTTGACTCAAAAAATACGAGTCGAAAAGCACCAACATTTATTATTATATGTGCTGCCGAAGAGAGCACAGCACTGATATTTATAATAGGGTTTTAGGTATAACGCCCCAAGCCCCACAAGGAACCGTTATTATTATTGAAAGACTCCTTCTATGAAGGAATTTTCTTTATAATAAACTCAGGGTCAAGTGTTCTCTCAGACACATTTGGCTGGTGTCTCAGAATTAAAATCTATGCTCCTGAGCCCCCACTAAGGTTTGCTACTCATAATTTTGCTATAACGTTGGGAAAAAACTGAAGAGATTCCTGCAGGGAACTAGTGACATTATAAGAAAGATCAGGGACCATAATTTTATGAAATTAACCAGTTCATTTAAACTCAGTCTAGAAATGTCCCTCAGAACAACTTAAGAAAAAGTCCTGTTACACCAGCTATTTGGGATCTGTTGTCTTAGTACATTCAACTAAATCTTTCTGAATTTAGTCAAACTACTTTGCATTTATAAACATAGAGTGAACTGAGTTAATTCAGCAAAACACGTTGTCTACAGAGATATAGACAAAATGCAACCAAAGGATTTCAGGTCAAATAGGTCAGATCCAGCCTCTTCCTTCTATTTCCAAGGTTGCTAACTGATATAGGTTGGTTTATTTCCAGTGTAAATTAATATGGGACATGGTGAACATACACACATATACATAGAATTATATTCCAGTTATTCATTTAGACCAGCCACAAATTATGAATGATTATCACCTTTTATATCTCTTTCTCTTCATATTTATTCATGCAGTCATTCATTCATTTCTACTTTACCTTTTTCTTTCCCCATAGGGGTTAGGATGGCTTACTTTAAGAACACATAGCATATTTAATTTCTTTGTTTATAACTTTATCTTAAAATAGCCTCTGTTTTATTATTATTTGTAGTACATTTCTATTATTAGAACAGTACCATTACATACTTTCATTTAGAGCTAGGGCCAATCTCTTCACAGTATTCTATAACCATCCCTGTATGCAATGAAAGCAAAATATTATTAACTCTATGGCTGACTTCTCTATTGTTCCTGCACCCTTTTCAGAAAATATGTCCCTAAACACTGACACGACCCAGATGACTTTCAGTGGCTCTACTGCCAGCTCTACCACACATCTTTGATAACAATCAACTCTATAAATTAATAACCATAAAGGTTCTTTAACAATGCTGGAACCTGTTTAATCGCTCTCCTCTAAGGAGCCAAGGGAAATATATTTCTATTTTTATCTGAGCTTTGGGAATTTCCACTGTCTGTCAGTTTAAAGTCTATGTAAGGGTGACGGAGAAAATTAACAGCTGACTAGAAAGAAGAAAGGTATTATTATAACTAAATTCAACCATGCTGGAGAGGGAAGGGCTAGCCATACTCATTGGATTACGGAAGCAATTCTTTATCCAGAGTGGCGGTCCCAGGGTGACTCAAACATTTTGTAATCTAATCCCTTAAGATTTAATACTCTCACCTACCTCCTAATCATTCACCTCCTTTGTTGAAAAAGCAAAAGAATCTGTATATTTTGCAAAATTGATGGCATGAAGCCCAGAAACTATGACATAAATGTATCACAGAATAATATTTGAGAGCCTAGGGTTATAAATATTTTCTGTCACCCCTGGCATATATTTAATAGAGACAGTCTGCATCTAGTATGATAAGAGTAGTACAGTACTTAGAGCCAAAGTTAATAATGTACAACTGTGTACCATGGAGAAGGAAGTGACTGCAAGAAAAGTTGAAAAGGTTTAAATTAATTTGTCTTGGTTCTCAAGGAACTACTTGCATAAATATATTTCTGTGGTTTGGATGTAACCTACATATTCTTGTACTCCTATTACATAATTCACTTTAATGGTTGGAACGACCCCAACTCAGAAAAGGGCAGTATTACTTTGGTGTTTGTTATTGCAGCTGTAATGAATTAATGACAATTCACGGGCACATGATACTTGCAACAGTACTTCTACTTTCATGTTCACCTGCATATCTTGTTAAAATGCAGATTCTGATTCAGCTGTCCTTGGACCTGAGAGTCTGCATGTCTAACAAGCTCTTGGTTGATAACAATGTTTCTGGTCCTCTAGGCACGCTTTGAGTAGTGAGACCTTATAACATGACCAGCGTGGCAACTGAAAAGTAAGTATCCTGACCCAACTTAGAACACTCAAGTCTTCGCTCACATTGATCCAAGAATATTAACATTTGAGTTTTTGTCTCTCTTAACAATCACTTACCTTGTCAGTGAACCCTATAATCCTGAAACAGTGCTGAATTGCTTCAAATTGTCTTCTGTAAGACTCCTTGGAAGTTATGTCATGCATCACCCTTCCAGTTTCACCAGCTATGTACCTAAATGGAATATGACCAACAGCATGAGTGTTGACTGGGCAAACAGCACCCCAAATACCAGGCAAGGACATTCCCTTTTTTGCAAGGACATTCCCTTACAGTCTAATACTATGGTGGAATAATGGTGCAAACAGCTGAGTAAAATGGCTGCAGGTGAGTTCTAAACTTTCTAGAAAATGCAAATGGTGAGATGTAGTCCCTGCTGTCTCATCCTGGGTATTTCAGCTAAAGAGACTGTGAATGTTCAGTTAGTAAAACAGCTCCATTTATATCCAAGTTTTGTCAACCACTAGTTATGCAGTCATTAAAAATTAACAACTAAAATCCCTGACACTTACCTAGGAGGTTTTTCCTCAGGAAGTCTGAACTCAGAAAGTTTCTTTTGGTAATAAAGACCAGCATAAATATAGTAAAATATGTGAAAATTTTTCTCTCCCCTGGAAAAAAAAAGGGGACGTTATTAATAACATATTCTGGTCTTCCACACTCCAAGTAATTTACACCATTTCCTTTCTGTGCAATATATCATTCTATAGCAAATATGAATCTTCAGGCAATTAAATATGCTACATCCCAATTACAGAATAGTAATAGTGATAGGATTAGTATAGTAATTGTCACAGTGTCACAGTATCATTATTATTATTTTTTTTTTTGCAGTTTTATAGCTTTATTTAACAATCAGTGGTTACTTCTCATCCACATTAACTGTTTGTAGATTTTTGAAAGTGTTGACAGGAATGCAGGTAACCAACGCAGAGAGCTTGTTTGGTGAATCTTCATTCTCATTACGTTTTCTGGACAACCGTGCCCGGATACTGTATGGGACATTCCTTGTTCCTTTGGCCCAGAGAGTTTTGTTGAGTCTGGTGTCAATACGCACATCTGGAGTTCCCACCTCCTTCATTGCAAATTTCTGGATCTCTTTGAGTGCCCGAGGGGCATGCTTCTTGAAACACACTCCATGGATTCTCTTGTGAATGCTGATGATGCATTCTCTGCTCACTACCTTGTTGGTGGCAGAACGGCCCTTCTTCTCACCACCCTGCTTTGCAGGAGCCATTCTGCTGGGCCCAAGTTGGAAAGGAAGCCACAATGTCACATTATTAAACATACTTATGTTTACTCTATACAGGAGGAAGTTTTAGAGAATGGAACATTCTCTAGATAACAGCTCAGTTTACACATGTTTAAAGATCTTTTTATTCCAGCCCAAATGACTGTGCATCTGTGCCACATGCCTTCTGTTTGTAGCCCATGTTGCTTCAGAATCAGTGGTATACAGCTAAGAGAAATCAGCCAAACTCACTACTTTACTGGAGGCTCTGACAGGAAGTGGCTCACCAGTTGCACAGCAAATTAGGGAGTGGAACTGCTCCTAAACTAAGACTCTCAAATTTGTAGTCTTTCAAAATAGCATGCATCTGTCCTCCTTGCCTCCTGCTGTCCACCCTCTTTTAGGCCACCCTGGCCAGGGTCCTTTCAGATAGGTGCCACCTCTAAGTGTACTCTATGGACTGTTGTCAGCTTATAAGACAAGGACCTGGGAAGTACATGTCTAGACATTTTGTAGCAAGTGACATTGCCATGACATCTAAGAGTATGAAAATTTCTCTGATAATTCATTTCAATTATGCTTTACAAAGGTATCAGTTCACAAGGGATTGTGAATTAATGTTTTTTTAAAAATTAGTCTGTCAGTGAAGGCAGTTTGAAAAGCCCTGCTCTGGATCTCCTTCTTTCCTCTAGAGGAAAATGGTTTCTTCTTTCAATGCCCCAGAATTCTGGCAAATCCTCACCTTGGCCAACTTAGCTCTATGGAAAGAAATCTTGTCTTCCTTCTATTCCTTGCCCCTATTTGTGACATGAGCCCCACTCTTTTCTTTGGCTTCTCCTGGATATCCTAGTCTTCCTGTGATTGTTTATCCTGTCAAAGGTCTTCTGGTTTATTCTTATTCCTGCCCCATATTATAGATGCCCTCACTTGTCATTCCTCACTCATTTGTTCACTCAACTTACAAATTTATTGAGTACCAGTCATGGCAGGCACTGTGCTTGATGCAAGGGATACAGGACTCAGAGGATTCATGGGCTCTGGAGCTTCCCTTCTAGTGATGGAGTTAGGTGAATAAATAAGGAATCTTTGATGAGGACTTTGAAAGAAACAAACAAGGAGCTGAGATGAAGAACAACATTGGGGGTTAAAGGCTACTTGTGTCAAGTCAGGGAAAGACCTCTCTGAGGAAATAACACTAAGTCAAACAATGAAGTATAAAGAGGGGCCGGAAGGAGCTACAGAGAGAAGGGGAAAGCATTCCAAAGAGAGGGAGCAGAACATACACAAAGGCTCTGAATGAAATACTCTGAATGAAATGTAGAACTAAAAGAATGCTACTGAGAAGGAGGTGGGCAGGTAGGCAGGGCCAGCCCACACCAGGACTTATTAGGAAAGAATGTGGATTTTGTCGATTAAGCAATTAGAAGTCTTTGAAGCGTTTTAAACTAGAGCCAGAGTGCACTTTAAATGTGTGACATGAGTAGATTTGTGTTGAAAAAATGACATCTAGTTGAAGGATGAAGACTAGGTTGTAAGAAGTACCAACATAGATGCGGGGAGACTAATTAGGAGGTCTAGGTGAAAGAGCGAGTGGCTTAGACAGTGATGATAGAGAACAAGAGTAAACCTAAAGATATATTTTGGATGAATGACTAAAAGAACATCCTGATAGAATGAATGAGGGTAGGGAGGGAAAGGGACCTGGAGTCTGCCTCCCAGATTTCTAACTTGAGCATCTGGTAATGGTGGCACCAGTCACTGAGACAGGAAAACCCTTACAAGGCTTTATGAACCGGTATGCCTGGTATGAATGTCACTTGTTCCTTAACCTCTGGTAAATGTGCAGGTTTTGGCTTACCCATTTTGGTCTTAGCTTCCTATAGTTTTTGTTTGTTGTTTGTTTTTGTTTTACAGATATCTCAATTCTTCTGGCTTTGCCTACTATCATCCATTCCTAGTACAATTTCAACTTGATTTTCATCCCTGTCGCTATCCGGATTGGCTTGGTTTTGTGACAAAAACAAATATCCCAAGATCTCAGTGGCTTAACTCAACAAAGACTTACTTCTTGCTCAGAATACATCCACTGAGAACCAGTAGAGGGGTGGTGCGGGGAAGATGTGCTCATCGTTGTCACTCATGGGCCCAGGATGATGGAACAGCTACCTTCCTGCACTTTGTCAGCACTCTGGAGAGTCTTTCCAGTAAGTGCCCACTTGCTAGAATTGGTCACATGACCTCATTCACCCACAGGGTATCAAAAAGGGGAATCTTATTTTGTGCCGCAAGAGGACAGAACCAGAAAGGTCAGATGAACAGGACTTGCAGAGGTTCCGTCTTCTCATCCAATGCGTTCAGTCTATCAGTGCTATCATATTGATTAAACTTAATAATAATAAATTATGGCAGCATAGGGAATGCAGTTAGCATTAATATATTGGCTAGGTGGAAAACCAAATGAGAGAAGGGGCAGTTAGGGGGATCATTTTATAAACTATATAAATGTCTAACCAATGTACTGTATACTTGAAACTAATTAAAATTAAATAAATTTTAAAAAATTATTTATTACTTATGTTTTAGATTTATATTTGGTATATTACATATCATCTCATTTAATTCTCATAATAGCTCTGTGAGGTCAGCTTCAATGAGTCCTTTTTGCATATGACAAAAGTAAGGTACAAGGATATTTATATTAATAAATAACATACAGTAAGTGATAAAACTGTGATTAAAACTCTCAATTATCTTTGTAAAAGAGCATTTTACATTTGAACACAGAAAACTGCGGTTTCCATTCTATCACAGTTATCTCTTTCAACTTTAAAATCACCCTAATTTGGGGAGAAAGAAACAGGGGAACCTCATAAAAATTAATCAAGAAACCACAGAGAAGCTAAACTGATTATCCTTTTGTTCATTTGTTTAATTTCTTCATGTCAGCCCCTATTTTGTGAGACAACTGAAAGTGTATGATAGAAGAAGACACTTGGATTCCTAACCCAGAGCAAGTCCTGTGGATTCTACTTGCACAATATCTCTCAGACTTGTCAAATCCTGTCTATCTTCATCTCTACCGCTACCACCTTAGTCTTGGCAAACAATCTCTCACATGGATTTGACAACAGCATCCTAACAGTCTCAACATAATACTTTTCTCCTCTAATTCATTCACCCCACTGAAGCCAGAACAATCATTTTCAAGTGCAAGTTGAGTTTTGTGATTCCTCTTCTTAAAAACGTGAAATGGCTTCCTATTGCCTTTAGAGTAAGGTTCTAAAGAGTAAGAGTCTTTAGAATAAGGTTCCTCAGCCTGGGTCTAGAGCCCTGCATGATCTGGTCTCAGTCTTATCTTTGCCCCCTCTCCCTCCCCGCTTCTTCCTTCCCTCATTGGCTAACACCCGGTGATCCTCAGACCTCAGGCTAAATATCTCATACATCAGAAGCCCCTTTCTTCCTGGACTAGATTATGTGCCCTTCCTTCTCCTGTTTTACCTTCATAGCACCTTACATTGCTTCCTGGTACTTATCACAGTTGTTCTGCATTTATGTTTATTTTTTTGTTTAATGTTTGTGATCCTTTCTGACCCCTCCCCTATCCACCACCCACTCCAAGTTCCATGAATCCTGGGACCTTTTCTATTTTTTACTCTAGCGACCCCAGAAGGGAGTACAGCACTGATATACAGCAAGAATTCAATAGATAATTATGGAATAACGCATGAATGGAGCCATGTTCCTGAGGAAGGAGGAAGTCTGGTGTCCTGCAATAATAATAACAGTAGGAAGACTGGCTAACTGTCTGATAAATGTATACTATACTAGGCACCTTTCAAAGGAATTTCATGTAAATAAACTCATTAATCCTCACAACAAACCCATGAGGTAGGCTCTAAGAGCATCTCCATTTCACAGATGAGGCACAGAGAGGTTAACTGACAGACCCAAAGTCACACAAGCAATGTCAGAGACAACACTTAAACCCAGAGCAGTCCATGCTACTGATCACTATTGCTATACTGCTCTTCTTAAAACAAAATATTTTTTTCCTCTTTCAGTCTAGGGGAAAAATTAACATGTAGAATATTCTCAGTGCTTTTTTTTTTCATAGACAAGTTTAATTTTAAGGGATCTAATGATTTTTTTTTTTTAAGTATCTGCAATGCTGTTAAATTCTATCTGATATAACCAACTCAGGAAAAACAGGCATGACTATCCCAAAGTACTCCCACCACAGCTCTTTGTACTCTGCTTGCAGACATCTTTTAGGTTAGAAATCATAACTTATCTTTTACTTAAATAATTTATTGCTCCTGGGGGGCTGAGGGGAACCAACCTATCTATCGGGATGCTAAAAACAGTATAAAAATGGAGCAATTAGAATTCCCAAAACCTCTATATTGCTGAGCAAAACCACAGTGATCAAATAGTGTACCTACACTGCCTGTTTTATAACTCTGGACTTTTCAAGGAGATATTCAGAGATTCTTGCCCCCATCACAGCTCCAGTTGGTGTAAACATCATTTCCAGATACTTTCCAAAACGGCTGGAATTGTCATTGATGGCAGTGCATGCATTTCCAAAGGCTTCCACCAGGGAGTTGACTTGCAGGATTTTTTCTCTCAAGGTCTGATTATTGGCCTGTGCCAAACACAGAACAGTTACAAGTAGCCTCCGGAAACATTAATTCACCAAATTTACCAGGCACCCCTCCCTGCCCGCAGAATTCACATTATCCTTTTGGGAAGAATTGCATTTGGGGGAATTAGCATCAACCACCAGCATTGTGTTCTCAGATGAGCAACTCCCCTGTGCAGAGGCATCAGATGATGCTGGATTAGGTCATCATCAGTTTTTAAGTCCAGACACACTTCACATAAGATCTTTGACAGATAAAATGCCTAAACCATTAGAAAGAATTTTAAATAGAGAGAGCCCATAACTTTTCTCAGTTATTCATTATAATATTCATAAACCTGTTCTGAAAAAATATTTCTTAAAATCTTTCTTAGTCTCATAATAC